GTCCTGCCAAGAAGAGGGAGTGTCCCAGGCCAGTGAGCTCAGGCAAGAGCCTCCTTGCCCCAACCCTCTCTGCATTCAGGAATCCAGCATGAGGGCCGAGTACTATGCTGTTCCTCACAACAACCTTGCAAGGCAGGTATCACCCCCATTCTGCAGATGAGCAAACTGAGCCTTGGGTCTTTTAAGCAATGGAGCTGGGACTTGACCCCAGGTTTACCACAAGTCCAGTGGTCATCCCCTTCTATTCTAGGAGATACCCTAGCCTGATAGAAAATGAAGAATAACTAAGCCAGGGGCGTAATCTCCTCAGCTTGCTACAAGGTAAGAGATGTTCCGGGGTTTCTAGAAAAGCTGAGGAACAAAGCTGCATCTCTTGCTTTTCTGCAACCATTTCTAGAAAACCTCATGGCATAGGGAGTGGGGGTGGGGGACTCTGGTATCCTGGACAGTAAATTTCCTATATAGAAAAGATTTTGGGGCTTTTTAAAAAAACTTATGTTAAAATTTGTCTTTGAAAAGTAATAATTTAATGTTTATATTTAATTTAATACATAACATAATTTTGTCTTTAGAATCAATATTCCATTTCAGATGCAAAGTTTAAACATTTTTTATGCTTTTAAATTCAGCTTACAAATTTTATTCTATTTTATAAGTCTAGTAGATGGTGGCAGTAACTTTGGAGGAGTGTTTGAATAATGCTATGCTTTTGTTTACAAGCATAGCTCAGTACTTCAGACATTTTTAAACAAATTTAGAAATTTAATATGTTGATTTTTTAACTACTTTGGTTTTTCTGACCACAAGCAAAATCATCCCAAATTTTAAACTCTTATAGAAGCTAATAAATTTAACTTAAAAGAGAAATCTAAGTCCTCTTCGATGTTTTTATACTCTACTTAAACTTAGATGTCACCATTAAAAAAATCACAAGTCTAAATTAATTCTCAATTATACGTTTTAAAGTGGAGTTGTAAAACTGCATTCTAATGGGCTTTATTCTCTCAAATATCACATTCTGAAACACCAAATAGGCACATATTCCTTCCTAATATAAAATACTAATGCTATAGTTTTGTTTCTTTTAAATATTTCTACCCTTAAATCTAAACCTCCCTGAAGTGTTGGTGAGCTATTGTCTCT